AGAAAGAAAGAAAGAAAGAAAGAAAGAAAGAAAGAAAGAAAGAAAGACCCAAAACAGAGCCCTGTGATCAGCCACAACTGCTTTCTCCAGCCTGGTGGAGAAACACAGGTCCAGATTTGTTAAGGTTTCTCTGATAACTGGGAATCAGGGGAATTGTAACCCAATACATGTAGTCTTCGACTTACAAACAAATTGACCCCAAAGTTTCTCATATATATACATATATATACATATACATACATACATACATACATACATACATACATACATTTATTTATTTTGCGGGTACTTACATGTATGGTATTCAGCTTTGTTCGGGTATTTTCCCACGTCATTGTAGTTGTGCTTTTAAAGTTGTAGCAACGTTTCAGCAGAATCTCATCTGCCATCATCAGGCTTCTGTATTGATACAGAATACAGAATACAGCCCAAGACAGAAGCCTGATGATGGCAGATGAGATTCTGCTGAAACGTTGCTACAACTTTAAAAGCACAACTACAATGACGTGGGAAAATACCCGAACAAAGCTGAATAATACACACACACACACACACACACACACACACACACACACACATATATATTATTTATACATTTTCAATTAACATATATATGTGCTTTGTGAACAGTGTATTGTATGAGTTAGTTGCTTACATAATAAAGTTTTCCCATCTCTTAATTTCTACTTCTATTATCCAATCATTTATAAAACAAATCCCATATTTGAAAATATTCTACAATTTCCTTCTCTTTAATGTCAGTCTATCCATTTCTGCACAGTCTAATATTTTTTACTTACATCTTCTTCTCTCGGTGTTTCATTTTTCCAATACTGTGCAAATACAATTCTTGCTGCCTTTGAAACATGCAATATTAAGTATAAATTCCCTTTAAATTGAGGCCAAAATTTCTTATGCTAAGTGAAACATTTGTTAAGTGAGTTTGCCCCATTTTGTGACCTCTCTTGCCACACTTAAGTGAATCACGGTAACTGTTCAATTAGACAAACTGCTGTTAAATGAATCTGGCTTCCCCACTGACTTTGCTTGTCAGAAAGTCGCAAAAGGGGATCATGTGACCCCCATCCATCATAAATATGAGTCAGTTGTCAAGTGCCTGAATTTTGATCACATGACCATGGGGATGCCACATAGGTTACAAGTGTGAAAAACAATCACGTCATTTTTTAAATGTTATTATCACTATGAATGGCCACTAAATTGTTAAGTCGAGGACTACCTGCACATCTGCCCTATTTCAGTGTAATTTGGAGCAAGCACCAAGGAATCTACAGCATCCAGTATATGTCTACTTTATACTCAGAGTTGCAAAAATAAGATTCACTCACAGATCTAATTTTGTACTAATTGTGAAGATCATTCAACACCACACCATACTATCAACAGCAGGGGTGTCAAACTCAAGGTCCCAGGACTGGATCCTGCCCACAGGGTACTTAGATGTGGCCCATAGGGCCGCCTTGGAAATAGTGAAGGACTGGCCCACAATGCCTCTGCCAGCAGAAACGGAGCTCGGGAGGGCGTTTTCACTGGCAGAGGGTTGCAGGAGGCTGTCACAGCCGAAATGGAGCTTGGGAACGCATTTTCTCTGGCAGAGTACTCAAGCCAGCAAAGGTGCTCCCGACATGAGTGACACTGAGCTGGCCACGCCAACTCTTCCCCGCCCCCAGAGATCAAACATAACCCTGATGCAGCCTTCAATGAAATCAAGTTTGACACCCCTGATCTACAGTAAGTGCAAACAGTACAAATCATCTTCTGATTATTCTTGGCTGCTTCCATCCCCCACCTTTTCTGAATTTGTACTATTAGAGGCAGTTGTTCTTGGATTCAAAATAGTTTGCCTCATCTCAGCAAATGTACATTTGTTTAATCAATAGGCCCTCCCTCTTATAAAATTCTATGAATTTAGATGATCAGGCAAAAAGCTGCATGCTACTTAGAACATACATCCAAGGGGAGTGGATAGAGCAGATGTTTCTCCAAACAGAAACGGCTAGCATGGCTGTGAACTTGGAGGAACTGGCACAGCTGGCAGAGCAAGTGGCAAAACATGCTTCTCTGGTTTGTGTTTTTTTCACACTAGAATGGGAAGGATTATGCAATCCAATGACCTCTGCCTGAACAATGAGGGGAGTTGTTCCTGCCTTCCAGCTAAAATACAGATACACAGGCCTAAAGGAAAGGAGAGGGGGAGAGTTAACCACAAAGTTATTGCTACCTAAGGAATCCACCCAGCTGCTGTATTTCAACCCAGTTCATTCGGTAAGGGAAAAAGTAACGACCAATCCTCGTCAGAGGAATGCCGTTTGCAAAGCAATAGGGAGAAAGGCTCCTTTTTCTTAGTCTTTGATGTATAGCATGGCCTGGCCTTCCTGATTCTGAGATTCAGTTCCCCTAAAACACATATTCTACACTTGCAAACACCAGTGGCAAAATCCAAAAATATGCATGGAAAAATCAGTTGATTGCAGAGGAAAAGGCCATTTTAATTGGTGAGGATAATAACATTTGAAAGCTGAGGGTTTCTTTAGAAGTTCAGGGAAAATAAATTAAGCAATTACTTTGATGGTGGTAGGATCAAGACTAAATTGCACTTAAACACAATCCTTACAGCAAGGTTGGTTGAATAAGTGAAATGACTTACTCACAACAGAGAAATGACTTCTGCAGCTTCTGAAACCTATCAGGTGCTATTAGCAATCAGGATGAGTATGTGAAGATGCTGGAAATAAGCTTATCACTTTTCATGCATACAATTCCTTAAATTATTTCAACCTCCTGGGCTCAGCATGGAGTCAAGTTGTGCCAATTCCACATGGGAGCTGAGGAGCAGGACACCCCCTCAGCGAACAGAAACTGCTCTCAACCGTCGATCCTTTTCCAGAACACTCTACAGCTAGTCCTTGACTTACGAGCACAATTGAGCCCAAAATTTCTGTTGATAAGAGAGACTGTTGATAAGCGAGTTTTCTCCATTTGGCAACCTTTCTTGCCATAGTTAAGTGAATCAGTGCAGCTGTTAAGTTAGTAATATGGTTAAGTGAAACTGGCTTCCCCATTGACTTCTTGTCACATGAAGTCACAGGACCCTGGGACACTGCAACCATCATGAGTCAGTTGCCAGGCATCCAAGTTTTTACCACACGTTCATGGGGATGCTGCTACGGTTGTGTGAAAAACAATTCCTGAGTCACTTTTTTTTACTAGCTTCAAACAATCATTAAACTAATGGCTGTAAATCAAGGATTATCTGTATTGGAGGGCCCACCACTGGCTTTGATAGGGTTATGTTTACTAAATTCTCCAGAGGTTTGACTCCACCTCCAGGGCAGAGTCACCTGAAGGTGATGCTCCTGACGGGACTATCCTGCCCTATCCTGCTTCTCTATCAAGTATGTCAAGGGTACTGCCTATCCCCACTTGAAGCAATAGGATTTATGTCCTGCCCCCCAAACTTAATCTGGACTTAATCCAGTGACAATTTTTACTGATCTGCCTGTCATCTTGTACTTCATCTGGAGATTTTGGAAATTTTGAGATGCATTCATTAATTCATGTAGCCACAATAAAGAGTTATGATTCAGTTAACATTCTGTAATGGCATTAGCTAAATCATAACCTTGTGATACTAAACATTCTTGCAGCTTGTCAGTCCACAATTGGCTCTCCACCACAGCTTAACAGGCTTTTAGGAAAATTGGCTCACTGCCCCATGGAGATCTGCTCATCAGTGCAATCCAGCCTTCTGAATTAATTTAAAGCTGCAATCCCACACATTCCCATTTACTATGGCAGAACTGCAGGGCACTATAGAGGCCTAACAACGGAGCAAAATATGGTTAGGTTGAGAGAAATGATTTTGGAGAGGGGGAAGAAAGGTAGGAATTTTTTTTAAAAAGCACCGTGAAAAATACAAAAATCTGATTGCAAAGGTCCAAGTCATATCCTGTGAAGACATGCGAGATATCTCATTTTTAAAAATCTCTATCACTTCCTCCCTTCCAGTGTGTTCCTGCCTTCTTTGATATCACAATGCTGAAAGTATACAGAATGTGCTTAGCCTTGCCAAAATAATGAGGTAGGCAGGCAGATATTCCTTTCTGCTACCTTCACCTTTACCCTGTAGGAATTCTTCCATA